TAAGCCAATCAGCTTAGTAAATTCAGACTCCAGAAAACAAATATAAACTTACACGCATTTGCTTGTTTGCTTTTGTTTGTTTGTTTTTTAAGATTTTATTTATTTGAGGGAGGGAGACAAGAGAGAACACGCATGCATGAGCAGGGAGAGGGGCAGAGGGAGAAGCAGGCTCCTCCCTGAGCTGAGAGCCCCACGTGGGGCTGGATCCCAGGACCTGGGGATCATGACCTGAGCCGAAGGCAGACACTTAACCAACTGAGCCACCCAGGCACCCCTTGTTTGCTTTGTTTTTAACTTAGTTTCCAAACATCTTTCTAGTTCTGACTAGTCTAAGAGAAGAAATCTTTTTTGCTTTATTCCTGTGAAAGAAGCCACTGCTTTTAAAAGCTATGTTTTCCAGTTCAAGGAACAGTAAATGAATCCAGGCATATGAGTCAATATGTATTATGATAACTTCTTGAAAACCTCCTCAGTGAATATAAATTCCTCAAAAATCTGACTTTAGCACCAGCAAATACATATTGAGCACCAACAGTGTTCCACATGCTAATGCACACAAAGCACAAAGATAATCAACATAGATGCCACCCCAGAGGAGTTGGTAGACCAGGAGGGAAGGCAGTTTGAGGAGGAAGGTGACAAGTGTCAAAAGGAAGGTTGCAGGCACAGTCCTGGTGGGGTTCAGAGAAAAAAGCTCAGAAAAAGCTTCCTAGAAAAGGTAACAACATTTGAAGAGCCCCAGAAAGATAGATTTTATTGTTGACTCATTTGGTAGTGAAAGAGGAAAGAATATTCCAGGCAGAGAGAAGAGCAAAGAGCAAAAAAAGACTCAATGTTAGAAAAGCACAAGGTATCCATGGCTGGAACATAACAGTAGACAAGGGAGGATAGTAGGAAGTAAGTGTGAACCGGTAATTTGTGGCTGGAGTAAACACAACCTTCAAAGTCTGCCTAGGCCACGAAGAGTCACGGAAGGTAATCAGCAGGGGAATGTGTTCAGACCTATACTTTAAGATAATAAATCTGGTAGCTACATATTACACGGATTGAGGCAGGGAAAGTCTATAGGCAGGAAGACTCATTAGGAACTAGTATAGTGGTCAGGGTGAGAAATGACAAGGGAAATAATAGGAACGCGGATAGTATAGTGGTCAGGGTGAGAAATGACAAGGGAAATAATAGGAACGCGGAAAAGAGGGTACAAATATGAGACCCTGCAAATGTCAGGACTTGGCAAGTGATATTTTTTTAAAGTACTTCTCTTTTTTTAAGATTTTATTTATTTATTTGAGAAAGAGATAGCCAGAGACAGCACAAGCGGGGCGGGGTGGGGGGGGGGTGGCGGTTGGAGAAGCAGGCTCCCTGCTGAGCAGAGAGCCCGAGGCAGAGCTCCATCTCAGGACCCTGGGATCATGACCTCAGGACCCTGGGATCATGACCTGAGTTGAAGGCAGACACTTAACTGACTGAACCATCAGTCAGAACCCCCACCCTGGCAAGTGATTTTTGATAATCAATTTCTGACCCACAAAAACTGAGATAATGCCAGTAAATTTTAGAGTAATTCATTACATAGCAATGGGTAATTAACAGTTTATTCCTTCCGGATTTCTTCAGAACAAATGCCACAAAGTGGTTACCATAGACTTATTTTGTGATTTTAACAGTTTTATTTTTTAAGAAGTCTTTGGGAAACTGAAAAGAACATGAACCTGATAGCTCTGGCTCTGCAGCTCTGCAGCTCTGCACTTGCTGGTTGTGTGCACTTGGGTTAGGTGCTCATTGTTTCTGAACTTCAGAGTCATTATCTAAAAACAGGATTTTTACCTTAGAGGGGGACACCTGGGTGGCTCAGTCTAAGTGTCTGCCTTCAGCTCAGGTCATGATCCCAGGGTCCTGGGATCAAGGCCCACATCAGCCTCCTTGCTCAGCAGGGAGCCTGCTTCTCCCTCTGCCTGATGATCCCCCCTGCTTGTGTGCGCTCTCTCTCTCTGACAAAATCTTTAAGAAAAAATATATTTACCTTAGAGGGCCATTGTGAGCACTAAATAAGCTAGTTTGTTAAGTGCTTGATATAACCCTGGGATATATTAGGTGCTTGGTAACTAAGTCTCTCCCTACCCCACATGTCCCTACCTCATCTAGCTTTTCTGTATACTTTCTGAAGTCTGTCCCCAATGGCCAACTTTTTTTTAAATTTTCAAATAACATTCCTTTTAATGATCCAAACCAGAAGAAATACGGAATCTCGAGCCTTACCCCCGTCCTACTGAACGGGAATCTAACTTTTAACAAACTCCCCAGGTGATAAGCAAATTCATCGAAACATAACAAGTACTGGACTAGTACATATCCCAAATCTAATATAACCAAAACAGAGCCAACGTGCCTCTCCAAACCTGCCTCACCTCAGGCTTGGCCGTTTAAGTAAATGGTATCATCCAGGTGTTTATGCCAAAAACAGGGAGTCATCTTTGATAGTTCCCACTCCTGTGCCCTTCACATCTAACCAATCACCAAGTCTAATTCCAAAATATACCTGCATCTGTCTCTTTCCATTTCTACCCTCTCATCTAAGCCACCATCTTCTCTCACCAGGATTACAGCAGCTGGGCCAATTTATCCGGTAAGTATATAGGAGGCACAGTGGCTGGGCTCCATCATAATTTCAGGGGCCCTCAAAAACATTTTAGTTTAAAATTATAATAAAAGGGACACCTGGGTGGCTTAGTCGGTTAAGCGTCTGCCTTCGGCTCAGGTCATGACCCCAGGGTCCTGGGATCGAGTCCCACATCGGGCTCCCTGCTCGGCGGGGAACCTGCTTCTCCCTCTCCCTCTGCCTGCCGCTCCCCCCGCTAGTGTTCTCTATCTCTCTATGTGTCAAATAAATAAAATCTTTTAAAAAATAAATAAAATAAAATAAAATTATAATAAAAAACAAATGTTTAGGTCAAAAAATGTTTTAATGTATAATATTAACATATTGGCCAGCAGTCATAAAGTACAATTTTATAATTGATTCTGATGAATATTTACATAAATATACACTGATGTAACCACCACCTACATCAAGACACTAAGTAATCCTTTTCAAAATTTTATTTCGTCATGACATAAAATTGCATAATTTTATTGCATAAAAATAAAATCCTTCCATGTTTTCCCAACCCACTTGGAATAAAATCCAAACTCCTAAACCTGGTTTACAAAGCCTCACACAATTCAACTCCTAACTATCTCTCAAATTTCATCTTGTACCACTCTTCCTCCTCCCTCACCATAACCCAGCTACCAGCCTTTCAATTCCTCAATTTGTCAAGGTGGTGCTGTCCTGGAGCTTATGACCCAGCTATGCATCCTCTGCCTTCTCCTAAAGCTCTTCCTAAAGATGTTCACAGGACTGGCTATTTGTAATCCAGATCTGTTGTTCTTTTTTTAAAGATTTTATTTAGGGGCGCCTGGGTGGCTCAGTCCATCTGCCTTCGGCTCAGGTCATGATCACAGGGTCCCGGGATCGAGCCCTGCACTGGGCTCCCTGCTCCGCAGGAGGCCTGCTTCTCCCTCTCTCACTCCTTCTGCTTGTGTTCCTCTCACTGTCTCTCTCTCTCTGTCAAATAAAATCTTTAAAAAAAAGATTTTATTTATTTATTTGACAGAGAGAGGGAGGGAGAAAGAGAGAGGGGCAGCTTGCACAAGCAAGGGGAGTGGCAAGCAGAGGGAGAAAGAGAAGCAGACTCCCCGCTGAGCAGGGAGCCTGATGCGGGGCTCCATCCCAGTATCCTAGGATCATGACCTGAGCCGAAGGCAGATGCTCAACGGACTGAGTGCCCCTCCAGATGTGTTTAAATGTCACTTCCTGGAGCGCCTGGGCGGCTCAGTCCTTAAGCGTCTGCCTTCAGCTCAGGTCATGATCCCAGGGTCCTGGGATCGAGCCCCACACCGGCTCCCTGCTCGGCGGGAGGCCTGCTTCTCCCTCTCCCACCCCCTCTGCTTGTGTTCGCTCCCTCACTGTGTCTCTCTCTGTCAAATAAAAATAAAATCTTTAAAAAAAAATAAATGTCACTTCCTCACAGGCCTTCCCTGACCAGGCAGTCTAAAGTTGCATCCGATCATCTTTTAATCAAAGCATCTTAATTACATGCAGAGTGCTTATCATTTCTAATATTCATTCACTGCTTATTGTCTCTTTCCCTCACTGGACTATAAAGTCCTTTGGAGTTTTGTTCTCTGTTGTATCAAAAAAATGCCAATAACAGTGCCTGACACATGGTAGGCGCTCATTAAAAATTTTAATTAAATAACATACTAATACAGTATATGATAATATATAATAAAATGTAGCATTAGGTAGAGGAAGCATGGATAACACGGCTGTGAAATCATAAGGGCCCGGATCTGACTGAAGGTAGTCGATAAAATGAAGGACTAATTGAGGTAAAAGTCCATGGCAATTAAGTGTTCGATATTTGTTACTTTCTTATTCTTCTAAACATAACCAATTAAAACCATCCTTAGGCAAGATATTGGGCTTGTTTTGCTTCAACAAAAAAGCGATTAAAAAAAAAAAGCTCAGTAAATTAACCATATAGGTCTTGACACGTGGAAAACCAAAAGAAAAGAAACTTAGAATCTTCCCTTCCATAAAGTCAGTTGTGGCACTCCTATTCCGGGTTCCAGCCCACCTCCATTCGGTCCCAGACAACTAGAACCAACATGCCTGACCCCGCCCCTTCCGCTTACCCCACAGGCAGGAAGTCGGCGGATTGTGAAACGCGCCCCCTCGTCCGCCCATAGCCCTTCGTAAAGCGTGAAGGATTTCGCGACAGCCCAGGCCCCACCCCTTTGGCCACATGTCGCACAGGTCTTCCCGTCGGACGCCGCGCCACCTCCTCGCGCTGCTTTACGAACCTAGAGCAGCGCCGCCCCGCCTCCTGTCTCCCTCCTCACCTCCCCGCCCCCTCCCAGTTTCGCATCTCTTAGCCCGACGTCCCGCTATAATCACGTGATTGCCTCATCCGGGTCCTTTGCGTTCTCTCTCCCTCTCCCAACATGGCGGCCTCAGGTGAGTGAGCGGCCGAGCGCGGCCAAGGACCAGGCTCATTAGCCACTCTCCGAGCCTGATCCACTGATTCCCTGGAGTCGGGGAGCGGGCGGCACCGCTTTCCTTCGGACTTTGGGGCTGCGGCAGGCTGGCGGCTTGGCCATGTTAGGTTATCGCCTCGGGATGTTTGGGGGGAGGGGAAGGACACCTTCCCCTCCCCCTCACACCCTTTTCACCCCGTCAGCGCGAGGTTGGAGCGGGGAGTAATGATGGACTCTGGCTTGAGTTGGAGTGATGAGGAGCAGAAAGATCTCTGGGAGGCGTGAGGCCTTCTCATAGACGTGAAGCACTGTGCCCGCGTGGAGGAAGGAAGGAGGCGGTTGGCGCGCGGACCGGTGCACAGTAGACTACGTTTCCCAGGCGCGAGGCCGTTGCGGACGGGAGTGGGGGCAGGGGAATAAAGAGGGGGGGCAGTTAGAACACCAGCGCGAGTCGGTGGAGGGGCGGGGGAAGGCGACGACGCGCGTGCGCGGTAGGAGAGACGAGGGTAGCGGAGACCGGCGCGCCTTAAAAGCACGCGCGAGGGCCCAGATGGGGAGGTTTTACGCGCATGTGGTGCTTTCCCTTATGTCCTTCCACTTTCTTTTCTTCCCGTTTTAGAGTGTGGCCCGGTCCCTATATTTTTCCAAGGGTAAATGTGTTAGGTTTGGAGGTTGAAGCTACTGGAGTTAGGTGGGGGTGGGGAACCCAGTGTGGTGCGCCCACGTGTTGGAGGAGAGAAAGCAAGGGTGGAGACATAGGTTTCTTCTAGGCTTTTTTTCTTGTTCAATCAGTACCTATTTACTGACCGCAAACTAAGCTAGGCATGGTTCTAGGTGTCGGGGTTGGATAAAATGGTGAACAAGATCAGAACCCTTGACAGCTTCCATTTTGGTTTATTTTGATAGCTCCGATAGTAGAGTTAGGTTTTTCCTTTTTTTTTTTTTTTTTTAAGATAACTGCACAACTGGGGAGTGCTTTTAAAATAATACTAGTGGATAGAGTTTGGGTTTTTTTAGACGACTTTGGAGTAGGGAATATCAGTGTCATACAGTCAGATTGCATTTCTCAAGGACTTGGCAGTGGGCTTTGGAATATTTTCAGCATTCATTTATTTTAGTTTGGAGGATGATAGTTTCTCTGTCATGAACATGCATTCTGCAAAACCCTTGAACCCTTGCTATCTCTGGACACTCATTTCTCAACAAGAATTTATTTCCTCTGTTACGTAAGAGACTAAGAATTATGTATGTTTTTGGAAAACGTTGAAGGAATTGAGGTGCATTTGAACGTAATACCTTTCATTGGTGTAGCACTTGACAGTTGACCTGGCTCTTGGGTGTATGTTGTCTCCTTTGATCCTTTTTGAGATAATGTAGGCAGATAGTGGTATCTCCCAGATGAGAAAGATGAAATTATTTTTTCAAGGTCACATGGCTGCAGGTAGCAGAGCAAGGTCGATATCTTTGAGACTTCTGACTGGTCTCCATTATCAACTTGGAAATAACAAGGTTGGCTTCCATGTTCTGATCTTGTTCACCATTTTATCCATCCCTGACAGCTAGAACCATGCTTAGCTTAGTTATCATATGTTGGGGATCTGCCCAAAAACTTCATCTGAATTAGAGTACTTATTTGGGCTGGATTTGCCATCTTGATGGCTTAGTGCCATAATTTAGTGAAAAGCCTGTATTTCCTTTTCACTATAACTTGTGGCATTTTTAAGGGTGGAAGACACTTTGGCAGTCTGTGCCCTTCATTTTACAGAATTGAGTGAAATCTGGACTGGTGAAAGGCATTTGCTTGATGTCCCCTTCTGTTCTTCCACATTTACTCTACCCCTTTTGAACCCCTAATCTCTTTTCTTTAATTTGGTTCCACAAATCTTTTTAGCTTTGTGTAGTATATGTAAGGGACACTGATAGTATCAGAGTACAAGGTTACATCTGACAGTCTGCCCTTGAGGAATTTGGGATTTATCAGACTTGTTTTCACACTTTAAATTTTTTCCAGTCTCGTTGATTTTGTTGAGTGGCCAATATTCCCAGATATGGCTTTGTTAATGAGACTATAAAATTCTTGGTATATTTTCAATATACTTCATGATGATGCCCAGTGTCTTGTTGAAAGTAGATCTTATATTTTCTCAGTGAAAATACATGATAGAACTTAACAGCCCTCTTGTAAATGAGACCGAAAAATTCTTGGCAGCAATACCAGTATCCAGTTGACCCATTACTGACTTTCAGGAACTGAAAGTGTCCCATAGCTGACCATTGAACTGCTCTCTTTATTTACAGAGAGTCAAATGTGTTTGATATAGGTTAACATTTTTTTGAGACAAATGCTTTCAAATTGGAAATAGTGCTTGTATGCACAGAAGGCCTTTCATTTGCATAGCACTTCAAAATGTCATATGTGGCATCTTGTTTAATTATTTTCATAGGGAGAGGATGGTATCCAATAATTGTTTTCATATAGTCTGGTCCTTATAGTTTAAAAGTAGTTTCATTATATGCTGTTCACATATAGGTTTCCCCTGCTATCCAAAAGTAGAACATTTTGTAAGCTGAAATGGCATAAAGCTAAGAAGCAATGACCATTACCTTATAGGGAAATTTTGGGGAGCATTCCCAGACCCAAAAAATAACCTCTCTGGCTTTTCTAATACCTTAGAGCATATCTTGCTAACAAAATAAATCAAGATAAAGTACAGATGCTCACAGGCACAGTTCAAAACTATATGGTGGCTTGATGCTGAGTATAGTTCTTGGGGAATGAGCTTGGACATGCCACTCAGAAGTGTGTCTGCCTCTGTGATGGCTCACTGCAAAACAAACGCCTAACACTGTTTTCATTTTTTTCTTTTTTTTTGTAAGAGCAAAGATTCTCTCTGGATTTCTATCGCTTAGGGGAAACAAGTATAATAATGTAAGTCTTTCATAAAGGCAAAGTGGCATAATGCAGCCTTTTGAAAAGCAAGGTTTACCTACATTACTATTTTTAAATTCCATCCTCTAGCATATATTTGTTATTCTGGGAGTAGGGTACCCGATTCAGATTCTGAAACTCTGAAAATTCAAATACAGATGCAAGGAGAGTGTCAAAGTAAAACATAGTGTTTCTAAGTAATGTGGTTGTTAAAATATATATATTTTTAGGGCACCTGGGTGGCTCAGTTAAGCACCTGACTCTTGGTTTCGGGTCAGGTCTTGATCTCAGGGTCATGAGAGCACTGAGTCTGCTTGAGATTCCCCCCCGTCCCTCCCCTGCTCACTCACATGGGCACACACTCTCCCTAAAATAAAAATAAAATCTTTGAAACATATATATATACACTTTTAAACAGCTTGAAGGTCTAATTCACATACCATTTGTGTATGGCTTGACAATATACCCTACCACTTTGTATTAGTCTCAAAACATCCTAGAATGTATTCACTTTTCATGAGGGTGGGGGAAAGAACCTCAGAGTATTGTTTTTAAAAACCAAGTGCATATTTCTTGTCTTTCTTTTTTTTTTTTTTTTAAGATTTTATTTATTTGACAGAGCACGAGCAGGGGAAGCAAGAGGGAGAGGGAGAAGCAGGCTCCCCGCTGAGCAGGGAGCCCACCATGGGGCCTGGGATCACCACCTGAGCCGAAGAAAGACGCTTAACCGACTGAGCCACCCAGGCGCCCCCCAAGTGCATATTTCTCATTATGTGTATGTACACTTAACAAGTACACACACCAAAGTCAATTTGAATTTTTATAGCTCTTCTCTTAGAAGCTCCAAGTACTTTGGGTAGTGGTCAGCATGATGTGTATTGGGCGCTTGCTTTATATTTTTTACGTAAATGACCAAATTGAGTGGAAAAAGGTAAGGGGAAGGCAATATGGCCTTTCCCTCCGGTTGTGTCAATTTGAAGAAGTTGGGTCATGGAACTGAACTGGTGGGTCGAGGTGGTGGAGCATATTCTGACTTGGTTTTTATTCTCTACTATAGTACAGTAAAAGTGAGGCCTGTCAACATCATGATATTGCATTGTATGAAATCTCATGGCTTGGCTCTGAAGAGCAGCGTAATTAGTTCTAGGCACTCTGGTATAGGTAGACTAATTGCATTTGTACAGTATTGTTTCTTTGAGGAAACATTTGTTGATCATTAATTCATTTTTAATTCTGGAGAATTGGGCAGGATTCACTTCCCAGAAAGAAATGCCTTGCCCCATTAGAAGTCATTTCTTCCAACCCCCATCTGTTTTCTTCGTATTTACCTATTCTGAACATTTCATATAAACAAAATCATACAGTATGTGGACTTTTGTTACTGCCTTCTTTCATTTAGCATTTAGGGGCTAACATCCCCTTTTGTTTGTCTTTTTATTTATTGATGTGAAACCACTTAAACCAGTGGTTCTCAACCATGAGACAATTTTGTATCACCCACAGAGGAGTCATTTACAGTGTCTGAAGGCATTTTTGGTTGTCATATCAGGGTGGAGGTTTTGGTACTGGCTGGAGATACTGTTAAACATCCTACAGTGCACAGGACAGCCCACCACAACAAAGAAATACCCAGCCTAAAATGTCAGTGGTGCAGAAGTTGAGAAACTCTAAATAAGGGTTAAGCTGGTATTAGTTGTAAGAAACCCTGTTTATTAAGGACACAGGTGTTTTGTCTCTTATTTAAGGACTTGTAGACTTAAATTTTTTGAAAATGCTATCTTTTAAGCCCTTATTTAACCTATACGAGCATATAAAGAGCTTCACAAGTACCTGGTACTTGTTCAGTAAATTGCAGGAGTAATTAAGGCAGACAGAGAATTTAAAATTTCTGGGATGTGTGTGCGTTTTCCCTTAGTCCATGTGGGTTTGGCCTTAAATAATTGAGACATTTACTCTTTGTTACATGAAGTGGTTTAACTTTTTAACCAATTCACATCAGATTTAAAGAAAATTAAGAGTTGGACCAGTTTGATTGTGTGGCAAGGGATTGATAAACCTGGAACATTAAACGATGCTTTACTTAATCCAGAGAAGACTGTTGAAATCCTAAACATGTAATGAGCCTAATACTAGAGTAGCAAAGGGCATAGAGGATTTAGATAACATCGTTTCTCAGTTATTTGAGTAAAATAGAGTGGAACAAACACTGGCACCCACTTTAGTTTACTTATTTTACTTTCTAAAGGGCCAGTTAGTTCTTTTAAATCTGTTTATATTTGTACTAAGTCGTTGCTGCTGCTAGATTTGAAGAAACATAAGATACAGATCTTGTGAAAGAATCTTAGCTTGTTTTTAAATGAAGACCCTCCATCATCGGTGATTTCTCAGCCAGAGGTTTTTGGAGGGGAGGGCAACAATCAGGAAAAAGGGAGCTACGTGATTTAAAAAGACATTCCGAACCAAACAGTGCTTTAGTTTTTGTTTTGTTTTTAGTTTAGTTTATTATTTTGAAATTTCCAATAACATTAAAGGAGAGGAAGATTTGTTGGTCAAGAGTCAGGGGTTTTAAAAAAAAAGTCAAGGGATAAAAGTTGAGAAACCCTGATCTAGAAAGTTGGTATAAGCCAGAATCAGACCAAAGATAGGTTAATTCCAGATTCTGCTCTTTTAGTATTAGATGCGTATATAGGACGAAGGGGATAGGGATGCTTTAATCAAATTATTTTTATGTTGAACTTGACCTCATTATATGGACTGGCCATCAGTTCCATTTTTATTTCCCTAGTAACTAGACAGATCAATAATTGGGTATTATTAGCTGATGATACTAGGTTAAGCCCCATGAGGGTAAGGATCTCTAGCTAGCATCATATTAGTCCCCAACACTTTGAATTAGAGGATGTGGAAAAGATGAAAATAAACCTGTACACTGTGAGCATTCCACCTCAGAGGCGGGCTTTATGTCTTACTCACATCTGCTTAGTAAATTTCTTCTCCTAGGCCTTTGCATATAAGCTAGGGGCAATATTGATGCTATAGGACCCAACCTCTGCATAACTGCTTTCTTTCAAAACATAGAATAGATCCAAAATATAATCTGGTTAATCAGAAGTGATCCTTTTAGAGCAGGACTGGTAATAAGTCACTTAAAAATCGTGGAAACTACATTCAACACCGTCTTTTTTCTGTATTATTGCAGCCAAGTTCATCTGGTTAGCTCATTGAGACCATAATGCTTCAGGTTCTTAGTGTGTCCAGAAGGCTGTTCATAACATTCATAGCAAGCAGGTCATCTTTATTTCCTGAAAGTTGGGTGTTTTGTTGTTTGTTTAAGGTGGGGGGACAGAGGGAAAGAGAGAATACCTGCTGAGTGCAGAGCCCAAAGATGAGGGGGCTCAATCCCACCATCCGGAGATCAAGACCTGAGCAGAAATCAGGAGTCGGCCACTTAACAGACTGAGCCACCCAGGCTCCTCCTGAAAGTTGGATTTTAAAAGAAAGGGTCCTGGTGAGAGAGCATGCTTCAGTTAAACAAATGGTTGCATCATGTTACAAATTCTTAGTCTTCCTGGGTTGAAAATTAGATGAGAATTGGAACATGGAGGAGGAACTCATGGTTATAAAAGCCACAAAAACTGGTCTTTGTTACAACAAAGCTGCTTGCTTTTTTCTTATCAGGAGCCAGTTTTAGAACTTCAGTTACTCCTTTCAGCTCTTCTGCAGTAGCTCCTGACTGGTGCCATCTCAGAAAAAGTCCTGAGAACGAAATAGTTAGAGAGCCGAAGTCAGTCCACTAAACAGAGCCATTTGGAAATTTGTAAAGATTTCATAACCACGGAAAACATTAGAATGTGTTGGTTCTTAGGGGTTTTTTATGTTTTTCCTGCAGCACCCTATCTCGTCTTCATATGTGGTGTTAGGGAAGGAGAGAATTTTTTTTTTCCTAGAGGGCAGGGAGAGCCAGCTCTGTGTAGAGTCTTATTGTGTGAACACATTCAAATGACAGTAACACAGTTTACTGTGGTTATGATACCCCCCTTCTCCCATAGAACTAATAACAAACTTCTTAGAGGTTGGCGCTCCTGTGGGAGGAGCCCTAGATTTGGTATCCAAAACCGTGGGTTTAATTCTAGCTCTGCTATCTAATATCTTTGTAACTGTAGGATAGTCATTTAACCTCCCTGAGACTTAAGTTTTCTTTTCTGTGAATTGATAGTAATGATTCCTGCCTCATGTGGTCATTTTACAAGTATCAAACAATCCTCATAAATGCCAAAAAGAATATGTTATTAGGGGTAGGAGTTTTGTTTTAGTTCTTTGTATACCAGGAGCAATGGATATAGTTGCCTGGATTAAAAACAAGTAGTTACTAAATTAAAAAATTTCCAATGATACATGATTGAATATAGTAGAAAAAAGGTTGACCCCCACCCCAGTCTTAATGTTGAAACTCTTTGTAGACCTTTTCCCATACATAAGCAATTTATTTTGTCAGTTTTCATTGGGTTTTCTTGCTGTGCCAATATATTGTACTTTGTCCCTATTTACATCTGTGTAGTATACCATCGTATCCTTTGGTGGCCCTCTGTGTTGCTTTCTTTAACAGTAGTGTACTGTACAACTCTCTAATACTCAAGGAATGATAAATAATCTTTCTTTTGCCTTTTTAAAACAGCAAAAAAGAAGAATAAGAAGGGGAAAACTATCTCCCTAACAGACTTCCTGGCTGAGGATGGAGGGACTGGGGGAGGAAGCACCTATGTCCCCAAACCAGTCAGCTGGGCTGATGAAACAGATGACCTGGAAGGAGATGGTAATTTTTTTTTCCCCATCATGCTTGGAGTTTTCATTCTCTTTAAGGCCAAACCCATTCCATAGTAATGGTTCACACATAGTAATCTGAAAGGAACTTACTCATTTTATAGAACCCTAAGTCTTATATTTGTGTATTTCATAGAATTTTAGATTTAGGTTGTAAGAGTTTATGATTAGGGACTGAAGGGGTGATTCAGGAGAGCTTAGTACTAATTCTGTCTCTTTTGTTAACAGACTCTTCTCAAGGTATTAATTTAACCCTCATTTTCATTTCAAAAGTTGAGGACTAGATTACTAAAATTCTATGATGTCCTGATGTTACAATGTAATCTATAAGCTGTTTATATTCAGAATCAAGAGAATAATTTGTTCTGGGAGCTATTTTTATGAAGTCATGGATAAACAAAACTGGTCTGAGGAATGGGACAAAATTGAGTTGTGTTGGTTTTGTTTCATTTTTAAGAGGAGAATAAACCATGAAGAAAACACTTTGTCCACCCAAAAAGTTAAGAATATGAGAGTTGTCAACAGTGTTTAAATAGATTTGGACTGAGAGGGTTCGAGTCCTGCCTGTACTAGGATTATCATCTACTGCTCTGCCATCTTTGTGATCTTAGGCAAGTCATTGAATCTTCTGAAATCTGAGTTTCCGTTTCCATAGAATGGAAACAACCACACAGCGTTATTAAAAAAAGATGGGATATAATGAATATAAAATACCTGGCTCATCGTAACATTCAGTAAATAGTTGATACTTTCTTTTTCTTTGCTGCGTAAGGAATGAGTTACCATACTGTTAAAAGCCTGGGCCTTTAAAGGCCTTAAAATACTTAGAAACCAAGAGACAGTGAATACTGAGTCTTTTTGCAGTGCTAACCTGATTCTGACATTTCAGAAGCACTGTCTCTTTGTAAAGTGCCCTTAATTTAAGTGCCTTTTTATCTGTTTCTTTCCTGACATAGCTTATTTAATCCTTGGCACTTAGCATGAGTCCGCTTATTCTACAACAGCAGTAAGGGAAGTTCGCTGTAATTTCTTTTGTTCACTTTCCTATCCTAGTTTCAACCACTTGGCACAGTAATGATGACGACGTGTACAGGGCACCTCCAATTGACCGTTCTATCCTGCCCACTGCTCCACGGGCTGCTCGGGAACCCAATATCGACCGGAGCCGTCTTCCGAAATCGCCGCCCTATACTGCTTTTCTAGGGAACCTGCCCTATGATGTGACAGAAGAATCCATTAAGGAATTCTTTAGAGGATTAAATGTAAGTGTAAAGGTTTAAGGCAATTAACTCGATATGGAGAGTAGCATATTGGTTGTGACTGTCCCTGAATTTCTAAGCTGGGAAAGAGTCTCAGATTGTGTCTAGACTTGGCAGAAACGGGTATATAATTGATTAAGTGGCTTTTAGGCCCTTTGAGAATGTTCTCGTCCCACACCAATCAGATAGTCTTTATTTACTTACTTATTTTTTAAGATTTTATCTATTTATTTGTCAGAGCACACAAGCAGGGCAAGCGGCAGGCAGAGGGAGAAACAGTCTCCCCACTGAGCAGGGAGCCCGACTCGGGACTCCTCACTGGACACTGGATCACAACCCAAGCTGAAGGCAGACTTAACCAACTGAGCCACCCAGGTGTCCCACCAGACAGTCTTAACACCTTATTGATGCAGAAAGAGTCTCAAAAACCTATACCTCTTTTCATTAAGAATCTTAAAAGTGATATTCCCAGGAGCACCTGCCTGGCTCAGTCAGTGGAGCATGTGACTTGATCGCGGGGTCATGAATTTGAGCCCCACATTGGGCATATAGATTACTCAAAAAAAAAAAAAACACACCCAGTTTGGTTGTAAGGCGGAAGGTTTCTCTGAACTCATTCTGTTAATGACACTCAGGCTTATATCAAAATCACTTTTTAATTTTATATATGAATACCTTTAACTGGAAGATGTGTGATTTACATTAACAAGAGTGTGCTAAAATTTATTAAGAGTTCTGTGAGCCTGGTGCCACATATAGTGGAATTCACAGTGTTTATAGGCATGCTTAAAAAGCTTAAGGGAGGGGCGCCTGGGTGGCTCACTTGTTAGGCGTCTGCCCTCAACTCAGGTCATGGTCCCGGGTCCTGGGTTCGAGCACTACATTGGGCTCCCAGCTCGGCGAGCCTGCTTCTCCCTCTGCCTGCCGCTCCCCCTACTTGTGCTTGCTGTCTGTCAAATAAATAAAGTCTTAAAAAAATAAAAATACTTAGGACGCTGGCTAGCTCAGTCAGTAGTAGAGCATGCGACTCTTGGTCTCGGAATTGTAAGTTCGAGCCCCACATTGGGGGGTAGAGATTATTTAAAAAATAAAATCTTTTTCTTTTTTTTTTTTTTTTTTAAAGGTTTTATTTATTTGACAGAGAGAGACACAGCAAGAGAGGGAACACAAGCAGGGGGAGCGGGAGAGGGAGAAGCAGGCTTCCCGCGGAGCAGGGAGCCTGATGCGGGACTTGATCCCAGTACCCTGGGATCATGACCTGAGCCGAAAGCAGATGCTTAATGACTGAGCCACCCAGGCACCCCCAAAAGTAAAATCTTTAAAGAAAGAAAGATACTTAGGACTTAAAAAAATCAGAATGAGTCACAATTTCCAGTTCTGTTGGGTTTTTCTCCAGAATCTTTGCCAATATGAACACATTAAAAAGTACACTTCCTTGGGGCGCCCAGCTGGCTCAGTCAGTAGAGTATGCGACTCTTGATCTCAGGGGTGATGAGTTTGAGCACCACGATGGGGGTAGAGTTTACTTTTTTTTTCCCCCTCTCTTTAAAAAGTGTGTTTCCTTTAAAGATCTGCTGTCTCCTTCACTCTTACTTTGTTTTTTGACTTCCTTCCTAGATCCTAATCTCTGCACTGGGCCACCAACTTCTATGGGTGGCTTTTCTGGTGTTGTTAAAATCTTTAGAAAAAAAAAGTCACGTGCTCTACTGACTGAGCGAGCCAGGTACCCCACGAAGTGATTATTTTTTGAATGCCACCTATAAATCTCCTCTCTGTACAAATATGTAGTACAACTAGAAGGCTGACCTGTTTTTGATTTCACTTTGTTGGCCTCTTCTGTAGAGTGTTGAATAACCTTGGGCCCATTCAGGCTTTTCACTGTTAATGCTCTAGAATTGGTCTGGAATTACTTCTCCCTTTCATATTTTCTTCTTTTTCCTTCAAAATTCAAGAGGTGAGTTAAACTAGAATTAAAAAGAGGCTATAAGAAAATCTGTATCTCAGGAGCCAGAGTTAAAGTATCAAATCAGTGCTGCAGAAGAATATAACTTGCATACATAGAAAATACTGAAGAAATGAAGTAAAAGGGTAAGAAAACATATGGAAGCCATCAAGAAGGTGGCCGGAAAATAGTTAAAAGTATATGGAAATGGTTCTAAAATTGGAAATGAAGAGTATATACCCTGCTATAAATAATAAATACAATTTAGTGCCAGGGAAGTTTTTTATGAAACTTAAAGGAATCCTCCAAATCTACAATTAGAAAACACAAGGTAATCTCAAAACCAGATTAATGTAAGTTTTTTCTGAGTACAAAATTCAGCAGTTTGCCATCTTAGAATTCAGCAGAGGAGGTCAGTCTGGCAGGGGCTTACAATCCAGTGTTTGATGCAGCCAAACTATTGTTAATATATGAAGATAGTAACATTTCTCAGGTAAGGTCTCCAGAAAGTACACTGCCTAGAAAACTGGCAAAAACTGAATTGAATTTCTGAAATAGAACTGGAAATATGTACTAAAACCAACTACAATATAGGCATAAAGAGATGACTAAACAGTTGATCTTTACTGAAAAACAACTAAAAACTAGACTTTTGTAGAATGAGGCAAAAGTCTTGGATGCAAGAACTACCCTAAACTCATGTTTTTTTTGTTTGGTTTTTGGGTTTTTTTAAGGGTTAAATTCATATTCAAACTGGAAAGGTTTAATGGCATTCAGTGAAGTCTCTTCTATCCCTTTGCACCAGTTTTCCTTCTGGAGACAACCAGGTTCTTGTGGTTTGGTGTTTTTTTTGTTTTGGTTTGTTTTTTTTTGAGTAGGCTCCAGGCCCAGCATGGAGCCCATTGTGGGGCTTGAACTCACAACCCTGAGATAAGAGTCAGACGCTTTACCAGCTAAGCCACCCACACAGCCCAGTTCTTGTGTATTCTTCAGAGAAATTCACTGCATATGCACTGGTTGGGGAGGGGAGGCGGGGAAAGACAAATGAACAAGAACACTCAATAGGGAAATATGTTTCTTTACTCCTTCAGATCAGTGCAGTCCGTTTACCACGTGAACCCAGCAATCCAGAGAGGTTGAAAGGTTTTGGTTATGCTGAATTTGAGGACCTGGATTCTTTGCTCAGTGCCCTGAGCCTCAACGAAGAGGTAAAGAAAAGAAGGTGGGGAGTCTGAGGGGTGGGAGCTAACCATTCTTACGTTTATCAATATATTTTTGGTTGGGTCAGTAGCTATTTCAAAGATTGTCATATCTACAAAGAAAAGTACAGTGTAACACTTAACATTCAACATCTAGCAAGTCGTATTTTGCTTGAGCAAATTCAACAGGCTCCAATAACTCAGGGAGGTACTTCGGTGGAAAATAATGGAAGAAACCCACCACACCAAGACTTTAATAGAAGCTCTCTTTCATTCATTCACAGCTTTGTCTCCACTCTCCTGGCTTTGCTTTTTAAAATAATCTGACCAGATCAAAGCAAATAGGAAAATGATGTTAATCAGTTTAGTGTTAAAGGCATTTTCAGGGAAGTTAATGGTGTTTTTGATAATTTTAAGAGAGTTTGGAAATGTTTCTCAGTTGGATGTCATTTGTAATACATGTTCCTAGGAATCTCTTATAGGAAAATGACAATAAACATTCAGTGCTTCTGCTTTTTAGTGTTGCCCATAGATGTTTTTCTATCCAGACACACTAGAGATTTAGTAGGGAGAGGAGATTGAGCTGTTAATACATGAGGAGGATATGAGTATTAAATCTAACTATAATTAGTTATTTGAGTGATTTGTGCCATGCAGTGACCCTTAAGCTAGGCCAAGCAGGATATTTGAAGCATTTAGCTACCTGTTAGTAATGGAAGTTTCTAGTATAGGACCTGCTTTTGCTCCTTTTTTTTTCTTTTTTTAACCTCTAGTGACTAAAACTAGACTAAAACTAATTCTATCTGGGAAGGAAAGGGGCTCTTTTTTTCTGTTTTTAATTCCAGAACCCCCTTACTGTTTCTTGAGAAAGCAATTTCCAGTGCTATTTGTGCCATAATCCTATGGTCCAAATCTGCCATTTGACATGATTGAAATCAGTATACCTCTTTAAATACTCCTCCTTTCTCATAATTGAGTACCACCATGATACTCTGAAGTAAATGTCAAAAGTTAAATATATGAAAAGCTTAAAGTTGTTCCAAAGTTTTTTTCCTCAGATCATTTTTAGGTTTTATTAACCTGACTAATTTTTAACTTCTCAGTCTGGATAAAGGAAAGAATACCATACAGTTTTATCATCTGAAGTTTGCTGAATTATCTGTTATGTAAAATGCTGTCATGGTCCAGACTTAGGAGTTACTTTGTTTCTAGAGATTTCATCATAGTGGTTTTTTTTTAAGGATTTTATTTATTTGACAGAGACACAGCGAGAGAGGGAACACAAGCAGGGGGAGAGGGAGAAGGAGGCTTCCTGCTGAGCAGGGAGCCCGATGCGGGGCTCGATCCCAGGACCCTGGGATGACCTGAGCCAAAGGCAGATGCTTAACAACTGAGCCACCCAGGCACCCTCATCATAGTGGTTTTTAATGTAATTCTGGATGTTTTCAACTAAAATTCACTGTTATCCTTCTTCAACTGTAGATTCTACTGTGCAATGAGGAAAAATCAGCAGTAGAATTAATTGGGTTCAAAGTGTATAATAATGTGGGAAAGGGAAGTCAGAGGGTGTCCTGGAGGAACTGATTTATCCAAAGGTAATTTTGAGTGAAAGAACTTGAGATAATAGAGACCATGCTTGCTGTACCTTTGCTGTGCATAGTAGGGGCTCTGCAAATGTCTAAATGAATAATTGCTCTGGACCCAAATACGCCTTTTATTTAGCTAGTTGCCTGGGAATTATTTTCAATTTATTACACTTGATAAATTGCCTTTTGATAGTTAAAAGGCTTATTTTGTGAAATATAGCTTTATAAAACGGTAAGATAATTGATGTGGTGTTGATATAAACCCAACTTAAGTTTGTCAATTCTAAGGGGTTATTTCAGTTTGCAAGTCTTTATAAAGGATTCTTTAGCCAACAAATTGGAGTGTTGGCTAGATTACAGTGTTTTTCCTTTATCTTCCTTCCCCCAGTGCTTCTGCTATGCCCAGACGTTCAAGGTCACTCATGGGATTTGTGCATAATGGGGCAAAAGGTTGGTTAATGTGGTCCTATGCTCTCAGTCTCTAGGTAACAGGAGAATTCGAGTGGACGTTGCTGATCAAGCACAGGATAAAGGTAAGAAAGCTGATAGAAATCTTCCTGTTTTGTTTTGGTCCTGGGATGACAAAGCAGAGGCACCCTTTCCCAGAAAATTCTAATAGAGGTGGAGAGCAGTAGGCCTGCCTGAAACTGGAGCACTAGTTCTCAACTAAGGATGATTTTGCCCCACTGGGGATGTTTGTCAATGTGTGGAGACATCTCGAGTTGTCAGAACTGGGGAATGCTGCTGACCCCTACTGGGTAGAATCCTGCGGTTGCTCATAGGACATGCATAGGACAGCTCCCCACAGAGAAGAATTATCCACCCCAAAACATTAATAGTATTGAATTGGAGAAGACCTGATTGATCTAGATGAACATTAAATATGTAATAATAGATGAGGTGTCTCTAACAGCATAAGAAGGGCTTCATTCATTTATATCGGGGGAGGGGTCTGGGTGCGTGAGAAATAGCGGGCAGAAGTTTTTGTGCGCTAACTTGTGGTTTTTAAATTTATGTATCTATAGACAGGGATGATCGTTCTTTTGGCCGAGATAGAAATCGGGATTCTGACAAAACAGATACAGACTGGAGGGCCCGTCCTGCCACAGACAGCTTCGATGACTACCCGCCGAGGAGAGGTGATGATAGCTTTGGAGACAGTAAGTTCATTTTTATCAAGTGAGTTTCTACTGTGTTTTGGGGACTGTTTTGTAATAGGATAAGTGTGTGAATGTAAATGATCACATTAGCAGAAAGGGAGCAGTAGACACAAAAAAATTTTATAATATCCGAAAGAATTGATAGATACAGAAGAATTTGATGAATTTATAATTTGAAAAAACAAAAAACCTTGCCAGACAAAGAGTTAGATGGGAGATTTCTCTCTTGAGAAACAGTTGTTTAGGGGCACCTGGGTTGCTCAGTCGGTTAACCATCAACTCTTGGTTTCAGCTCAGGTCATGATCTCAGGGTCATGAGATCCAGCCATGGAGCCTGTTTCAGATTGTCTCTCCCTCCTTTGTGCCCCCCCCCAAAAAAAATAATAAAATAGAAACAGTTGTTGATAAAGAAACCCAAAGGATCTTATAAAGTGAGGAACTAACAAAAGTTCAGGAGGAGGGCGCCTGGGTGGCTCAGATGGTTAAGCATCTGCCTTTGGCTCAGGTCATGATCCCAGGGTCCTGGGATCGAGTACCGCATCAGGCTCCCTGCTCAGCGGGGAGCCTGCTTCTCCCTCTGCTTCTCTCTCTCTCTCTCTCATGAATAAATAATAAATAAAATCTTTTAAAAAAAAAAGTTCAGGAGGATTGCTGGGTTAAGAGCATTATACAAAAATTGGTTGCATTACTAGCAGCCAACAGTCAAAATGGAATTTTTTTTTTTTAAAGAGGTCTTAGACTTCTTTTTTTTTTTTTTTAAAGATTTTATTTATTCATTTGAGACAGAATGAGAGAGAGAGCGCACATGAGAGGGGGGAGGGTCAGAGGGACCCCGACGCGGGACTCGATCCAGGGACTCCAGGATCATGACCTAAGCCAAAGGCAGCCGCCCAACCAGCTGAGCCACCCAGGCGCCCCAAAATGGAATTTTTTTTAACATACCTTTTAAAATAATAGAAAATTTATTCACTTCAAAAATAAAAATGTCTGCCATGTGCCAGATATGTTCTGAGCTTGGGATATAGCAGTGAACAAAACAGACAAAAATTGTATCCTCATTGGACTGACTTTATACTGGGGGAGAGAAACAGTGCTCAAATAAATCAACTGTAATTTAGAGAAAGGAGAAGGGAAAGAGAGAATGTCGTGGGGTAAGAGTTGGGCTGAATCAACAACTTTTACATACACCACTTAAATCCAACAAAAGATAGGCAAAACTTTTATGGGGAAAATCAGGCAGCTTTATTGAAATATCTGAAGAAAGAACACTAATTCAGAAAAGACAAGACAAAATAGGGATTTTTCCATATAATAAAATAATAACATACGTATAATGATCTGGATGAAATTCAAAATCTGTAATGTTGAGGGGAAGAGGCAAAATTGTGTAAAAATTTGAAACTATCATACAGTGTTTAATATGTAGTTTAAAAATGTATATATGGTAATCTAACCACCTTCATGAGCTTGGGTGACGGTAGAGGGAGCCCTTTAGCTCCATTTGTAAACCTACTACTTTTAAATTTAAAAACTGAAGTAAACATGGCAAACTGTTGGCATCCCCTAAACCTAATAAGTACAAATACAGAAATCTGTTATAATTGCTTCTGTACTTTCCTGTGTGTTTGAAATATCTTATAAGTAGAAAAGAAATAGAACAACCTCAGTTCATAAGCGTTTTAATTTTGTGAGACACCTTGTGAGTTCTGTACCAAATAAAATTGAGGAAGCAACAAGAGATAGAATTCCTGTTTTTGTGAAGAATTCTCCCTAACCTAATAAGAATGTCACAGAAGGGAGAAGGAATCAAGTTTACATCTTGACTTTGCAGTCAAGACTTTGTGACCAGGCAAAGCCTTGGGAAGAACTACCCGAGAGACCTACCTTTCATGTCAACGTTTATACAAGAGGTTCCATTGTTGACAGAAAGAAATGGCTCTTGAAAGAAAAAGCACTCAGACCAAGGGTCCTGTTTTGAATCAAGGGACATGACTATTTTCTCACTTGACCTTGAACTTAGGGTGGTGCATGGGTGGCTCGGTTGGGAGTCTACCTTCCGCTCAGGTCATGATCCCAGGGTTCTGAGATGGAACCCCATGTGGGGCTCCCTGCTCAGCATGGAGCCTGCTTCTCCCTCTCCTGCCTCTGTCACTGTCCCTGCTTGTGCTCTCTCACTCCTTCTGTCAAATAAATAAAATCTTTAAAAAAAAAAAAGGAAAGACAGAAGCCTTGAACAAGTTTGTAAGACTAGGTGATGTCCCCAAGGTCAGCTCTGCCAAGTCTTTAGAGACTCAGGCATTAGGCCCATAAAAGACTTAGGGGAGGGGGGTAGTTATACTAAATGTTACTGTAAAATCTTAGCAATCATTTTTATGTTTCCTGGCCGTCTGTTTTGGTGAGGGCAAGCTTATTATCATTTTATTATTATCTAAAATTAGTTCGTCTGCCTCTCTAGAAATCAGATACATATTTCAAAATAAACACAAGGCTGATTTTTGGTTTTTGAATTCTGTTTTAGATTCTCTTTGTATAATTGTTTTACCAACATTAACATGTCCTTTAACTTACAAATTTAAACTAACGGAATATAGACAAAATGATACCGTTTCCAAAATAAAATCAGTGTTTAAAAGGAAGTCATCGTAAAAATAAAGTCCTTGTTTGGTCTGCGTACATAAATTAATAAACTCAGAATGTTAAGTTTTTTTTGTTTTAACTGATTCATGTTTGCAAATTGAGGTTTTTCATGTAAAAATTGGGATTCCAACTTTCTCAGAAAATTGGAAGATCTAGCAAGTTAGCCAAAGCTAAGTAGCCCCCACCTCCTTTTATAAATGCCTTATACCATGTTGCTTGCCACCTGAGCTCTACAACATTCTTTTATGCAAATTTCTGGCATTTCGGCACCTGTGATACTGATAATTCACGTACGTGTGTAAAACAGTTTTCAAGTGTCATGAACACATACAATCAATACATTTCTTGTTCCATTTTTAATGATTGCTTTGTATGGATGCCCCCTGATTTATTTAATCCATAGCTTGTGCACTCAGCAGTTTTAGTATTATAAACAACATTGCAGGGGCACCGGGGTGGCTCAGTCAGTTAAGCATCTGCCTTTGGCTTAGGTCATGATCTCGTAGTCCTGGGATCGAGCCCCACATCGGGCTCCCTGCTCAGCAGAAAGTCTGCTTCTTCTCCCGCTACCCTCCACTCGTTCTCTCTCTCTCTCAAATAAATAAAATCTTTAAAACAAAATAAACAACATTGCAGTGAGCCTCCTTGTACACGTGTCTTTACAATATGTTCAGTTATTTTCTCAGGATAAATTCCTAGAAATTGAATTGTTTCCCCAGAGAGTATACGTGATTTTAAAGCTCTTAGTGTGTAGTTCTGAAACAACTTTCAGAGTGGTTGTGCTATTTTAGACTCAGCAGCAGCAAAGGAATTGACTTATTCCCCTAAACTCTGCCAACACCAGAGGTATCTTATTTTAATCTTTGCCATTTTGGTGGTGGGAAATGTCCTGTTAATTGTAGTTTCTGTTCCTTAAATGATAGCCAGTGAATCCACTGTCCTATGTCATACATATTTTTCTCATTTTGTTTGCCTCTCAGATTTGAGGTTTGTGTGTTTTCCCATGCTAAACTTTTTTAAGTAGTCTTTGGTTCTTTAGAACCAATCGAAAATACAGATTCCAATTATATTCTAGTGTATTTAAGTCTTTAGTGCTAGAAATTCATGAGATATATAGAGATTTTTCTCTTTAACTCTTAAATTACTAGGTTGGCAACATTTATTGAATCATCGGAGAAAATTTTTTGAATCAAACTAATACCAAGAGAACTTAATTCAGTTCACATTTTTCCACTTTGGATTTAAAGTGTTTCAGGTTTGTTTTGTGGTTTTGGGGGGTTTTTTGTTTGTTTTTATTTATGTATCCAGAGAGAGCACAAGCAGGGGGAGCAGCAGGCAGAGGGGGGAGCAGGCTCCCCGCTGAGCAAGAAGCCTGATGCCGGACTCAATCCCAGGACCCTGGGATCGTGACCTGAGCCGAAAACAGACACTTAACCAACTGAGCCACCCAGGCGTCCCAGAAAAGTGATTTACTTTTAAAAAAAACATAGCAGTGACTGTAAACTCATGAAACCAAATTGACTTCATGAGCTATCAAGCTTCTTTCTGTTAATGGTGTCAAAGAAAAGGGAATGACGTTACTTTGTGTGTTTTCTCTCTAGAGTATCGAGATCGTTACGATTCCGACCGATACCGGGACGGGTACCGGGACGGGTACCGTGATGGGCCACGCCGAGATACGGATCGGTACGGGGGCCGGGATCGCTATGATGACCGAGGCGGCAGGGACTACGACAGAGGTCATTACAAAACACAACTAAGGGAAATTGCTTTCTTTCAAGAACCCCTTTCTTGCCCTTCTTCCCTCCGGTGTGATCATCGTCATTTGGGATGTGTTCACAGGCTACGACTCCAGGATAGGCAGTGGCAGAAGAGCGTTTGGTAGCGGGTACCGTAGGGACGATGACTACAGAGGAGGCGGGGACCGCTACGAAGACCGCTACGACAGACGAGACGAGCGGCCCTGGAGCTCCAGGGACGACTACTCCCGGGACGACTACAGGCGCGAGGAGAGAGGTAACCCTTTCCTGGTGCTCGCTAACCCAGCAGGCCGCTGGAGAAACCGGTTAGGAAATGATCGGCTACGTGAGTGGGTTTTGAAACAGGATAGAATGTATACGTGGTAAAAGGTGTGGCGGAGCACGGCAGAAAGAGCGTGGGACAAGGGTGACATAATGGACATAGAGCAAAGTCTAGTTCTTCTAAGTTGCCTTAGCATAGAGACTTTTCAGTTCAAATTGGTTGAACATACAAACGAGAAAAGGAAAACATTTGCCACGCAGTCTCCTAGCCAGCGATTGGCACGGCGGGGTTAAATACCAGGTGTCAGTCATTTCAGTGCCATTCTACCACAGTCATTGATACCTGTTAACTAATGAAGTGTCAGCATACCTCTTAGAAAATTAGGCCCTCATGTCATAACATTTATATAAAACCTGTTGGGTTGCAAATCTGGCCTTTCAGAAAGTATCAATAAATGGCCAACATTTGCGCTCTGACTTCATTAATATCCAAAATAAGGTTTCTGACCCAGAGTTTTTCTCTTCAGTTATATATATATATGTATATATAACTATGTATTTTAAAGATTTTATTTATTTGACAGAGACACAGCGAGAGAAGGAACACAAGCAGGGGGAGTGGGAGAGGGAGAAGCAGGCTTCCCGCTGAGCAGGGAGCCCGATGTGGGGCTTGATCCCAGGACCCTGGGATCATGACCTGAGCCGAAGGCAGATGCTTAACGACTGAGCCACCCAGGCACCCCTCTCTTCAATTATTTTTAGCAGCTTGCCCAGCCTTTTAACATCCCGATGTTAGCCCTGTGTGCCAAGTGCTTTTTTTTTTTTAACTTTCATTGCTGTTAGCAGTTTCCTCTATTCCCATGCATGCAGCCTAGAAATACTAACACTTATTGAGCATTTATTCTGCACCAGCAGTGAGCTGAGCGCTCTCACCGATATTATGCAGTCTTTTTTTTTTTTTTTTTTAAGATTTTATTTATTTATTGCGGGGCGACAGAGGAAAAGGGAGAAGCAGGCTCCTCACGGAACCCCACTTTGGGGCTCCATCCCAGCACCCTGGGATCATGACCTGAGCCAAAGGCAGACACTTAACCGACTGAGCCACCCAGGCGCCCCACGGGTATTATACAGTCTTAAGAATTCTATCTGGTATAGATAATGTTTCTCATTTCCACTTTACTAGAGAGAAAAGTGGAGGCTTAGGTGTGGGCTTTGGGTCTCCTTGATTCATGACCTTTTCCTCTTTCAAGCTATTCTTCCCTCCCTCAGTAACTGCATACCTCATCTTTTTTTCCAGTGATCTTGCCCTGTGGTCCCTCCAAGAAATGCCCCCTTATCTCCAGAGTCAATGCCACTGGTTTTGTTCAGACTTCATTGCTTATACGCACATTACTAACAGATTTCCCTGCCTCATTCTATTTTCACACTAGCCCAAATTGTCTTTCTGGAACAAGAGCTAATTAGATTATTCTGCCTACAGTTTACCTCGTTAGTGCTGTGTACCATTAGGTGCTTGCTCAGTTTTCTAGACTTTCAGGAGTTCCACTTTGAAGCCTTCACAGGCTTCCCCAAACACAGTCCCAGTCTAAGAACTTCCATGTGGATAAATCTGTTTTGTAGAGCTTAGCATACTGTGTTCTTTTTTTATTCTGATCCTCCCATTGAATTGGGCTCCTTGCAGGCAGGAACTAAAAACTACTCAACTGTCATATTCCTGGCCTTAGCACAGTATTTGAAATATAGGTGCTCATCATTTGTTGAGTAGCTAAAATAAATGGAAATTATCA